AGATTTATTGGTTGTTGACCCGGTGGGGTACTCCCAGAAAAATTTGGTCAGGGTGTGCGTCTCGCTTCCCAAAACCTTTACCCTGTTTATGACCAAAGTCTGCGATTATCCCTACCCTATTTATGCCCTGACCAAAACTTTGATACCCTAATTATGACCTGGCCCTAATAAATACCCTGTTGCAGACCTGCCAAATAATTAGTTGCCTAGTTCAGACCGACGTTAAAGGCATTTTGAAGGGCTTTTGTTGCTGTGTTATCGATAATGATGAAAACGTAGCTTCTTTTCAAAAACATACCCAAAATGGCCAAAATCTATATCCTATTTATGACCAGCAGACGGCTAAAAAGCCATACACCGGGGCCGCCTTACCTATATAGCCCATATCAGGGAGTATCCCCCCGAGTTATTGACCGGGTGTAAGGTCAAGATGGCTGGATATTGGCCGAGTGCCTTTTTGCGTGTTTATGGACCTAGACGGAATCGCGGTCCGTATACTTACAAAAAATAACAAGGCCAATATCCAGTCATCTTGACCGAACAAACTTGGTTAATGAGAGATTTATTACAAGCTTTCGGTAAAATTTTATCTGGTAATGGCTCTTTCCTAAATGCTTCGCTACTGTTTGCAAAACTTGCGGAAAACACTATCAAAGTGTTTGCTCAAAAGAAGTTCTTAAACTTTTTGATCTTAAAAGGTGCTTTTTGTTGTTTGTTACTATTACGATTAGTTAATAAATCAGTACACAAATCGGTCTTGCGCGGAGTGCTCGTTAGATTGGAAATTACTGTACTCGCCAGATTAGTCTCTGAATTGTACTCCACTTGGGGTAATTACTAGACTTTTAATTATATAAACAATAGCTTCCATTTGGCGCGAAAATATGCTCGGATATTTGTCCGTAGACATTATCTGTTCCGAGAACCGAACAGTTTTCCGAAATCGTAGCTCAAGGAAAACTGTGAGCTTTGAGGAACAGATAAGGTCCAAGGACAAATATCCAAGCATATTTTCAAAGTCAAATGGAGGCTATTATGTTTATTATCCTTCAAATATTTTTCACAACACGTGCACTTTGGAAAATTGGGGAATATATATTTATAACTTATCTCACCGTTGGACTATTAGGTAAACTTTGAACTTCGTAGGCGGGCAAACCAGAAGGGACCCGATGAAAAAAGGTTTCATCAGTTGGCAAACTCTGTAGAGAGTTTCGCGGCCTGTTTGCTTGATCCACTGCGATATGATCAAGACAGGCGTGAAAAATTTGGTGATGGATTGGATGAGATATTGAAAGACGCCATTCAGCTAAATCAGAAAAAGGTAGGTGGAATGAAGAATAGAACGGCTCAACTTACATACCCTCTTTCTTTTTTGTATAAGAATATATTTTATAAGAATATCGAGGCTGAAATTTGCGAAATTTTAAAACTGTCTAAAGAATAAAGCCGAGGCTGAGATTTTGTAAAGAATATAATTTTGTGTTGAAAATCTGTAAAAACAATATACAATTATATGTTTCAAACTAAACCGTATAAAATTCTTTGATTTTGAAAAAGGAATGCATAGCTATGTTTCCAAAGTTGGCTTTAATCGAAATCCGTCAAAAAAGGCTGGATTTAAGGGAAAACCGCGTTTCCTTTAGCATTTAAAGAAACTGGAAGTTCGCCCGATATATATTGGAAGTTACCCTATCAGCGTGTGCGCAATTTACACTACCAGCACACTTCGGTGAGATCAAACAAAGCCACACGGAGTTAGTTTTTCTCTTTCTATTGCTCTTGTTTTTCTGTCTTTCTCTTATTTTGTCTTTGCTTGTACTTTTTTTACTTTGCATTTTCCGAAACACAAAGAAAAACACCTAAAATGTGAGCGAATTTGGAAGTTATTGAGTTATTTTTATTTTCTGCGCTCAGGCTGACGTAAGTAACCGGAAGTGAAATTTCACCTCCTAAGCAACGCACGCGAGCGCATAAATCGGTTAATGGGCCCTTTATGCTTGCCGGCTGGCTCCCAAATTACTTTATCACTATCCAGACACCAAATACATTCGCAAACAGAAATATCATGCGCTATAATCTAAAACTATTCACAAAAATATTTCAGCCTAAAATCAGCATTGAAATAAGAATATTCAGCCTCGGCCGGAAAAACAATATTCTAAAAAAACAACAACAACAAAAAAAAAAACAACAACAAAAAAAAGGAAACAGTGTATTATATTTTTAATTAATCATTCTTATGGTGATACATGGCGACTAAGTGCACAACCCGTGACATGACCATTGAGAAGGTTATCTATATTCCTCCGGCCTACCCAGCCGCCCCTCTTTCAAGGATGCAGTTTTGCAAAAGACTCAAGTTACAGCCGTAAGGGGAGAAGGAATATAGGGAAAATCTTATGTCTGACGTTGGTCACGTGACCGACAATTTCTAAACTGAGCTATCTGTCGAGGACACACCGCAGCCTCTCGCTTGTTGGCGAAAGGATTCTCTCTCATCGTAGAATTCAAAAATCTTCATTTGCTGAATAAAAGCAGGCTTCTGAAGACCGCTATCTGCCAAGCGTTCGGACTACTCCACCTTGGAGTCGCAAGACATTCTCGAGGAGGGGGGCATTAGGGTATATTAGAAACCGCAAAACCGAAGAAAAAGTCATCCAAAACCACAAAGCCGCAAAAAAATTCGCCCAAAACCGAAACCCGCATACAAAACTGTCAAAAACCGATACAATGGTGACAATTGGGGCATACAGAGCAAACTACACTAACATTAATTTTATCAAACTGTTTTGAATGTCATGGACTTGTCTGAAGCTTTCGTATCTTTTAGTATCTTTTAGCTTCTGCAGGCTTCTCTCTTCCCTTTTCACTTTACATCGAAGCGTGTTTTTCTTTCGAAAATTCTCGCCGCCTTTCCCCTCCTCGTAAAAAAACGCAACGCAATCCACAATTGCTTCTTCCGTTGCTGGCGCGGGAGGCACGTTGGAAACTGACCAACTGATTCTCCTTGTCTGCGAGGTCAAAGTTTCGGGCGTCATTCGAGATGCGTGATTCCCTACCGTGACATTTAGTTTGTCACGCATTCCTCTCAAAAACTTTGGCGTTTCGCGGCTATTCGAGATCAGTTGCCGCTCAAATCGAAGAGAAACCGGAACCCAAATAGGACAAAATCCACATCGGATACCAAAACCAAGAAACCGCTGGTATTTTTTACGAAAACCGAAAACCAGATGCTAAAAAATAAAAAATCCGCAAACCGCAATGAACACCAAAACAGAAAAACCGAAGTATTTTGGCACAAAAACCGAAAAACCGATGAAAAAATTAGCCAAACCCGTAAAACCGAAAATCCCAATGCCCCCCCCTCCTTGAGTAAAACCTGAAGTATAGGTTACTCACTGATTACTTGACGTCACAGCTAGAATTACCGCTTTGAAATGGGCGGGTTCAACTGGAACCAGGCTTAAGTATGGCGGCTGAAAGTTTGGGGTTTTCAGAGCGCGAAAGGCTTTTTTATTAACAAATATTGGACGAGGTTGAGCAAAGTATCGTGGTTTGTCAGTGGCGAGCAGATCAGTGATTTGCCGTTGGCGAATAATTGATCGGCGGGACACTGACAAATCACGATATTTTGCGGGATAACAGAGTTCAATAATTGTTTTATCATTCATCAAGTTTTTTCTCACATTTAAATCACTATCCGTAAGTCAGCTCAGGGAAGCGATCTACCGTTTTTCACCCGAGAGCATGGGTACAATTAGCAGAAAATTGTTTGCAGCAAAACACAATTGGACGTTACTACTGGCCAGATCATTATTTGTAGGCAGTTATTTACAGGTCTCGTGGTGGCCTCATGGCCAATGTAAAGGATGGAAAATGCATCGAATGATACTGTTTTTTTCCGAATCAAGTTACAAGTAGCTTGTATGAGAAACGGCGACGCTTGCTGAGATCACATTTATAACAATATAAGTTGATTGCTTCCGTCATTTTTTTCTGCAGTTTTTTACGCATCCAGTCGTGGATACTGAAATCAAACGCAAATGGTATGGTCGAGATTTTATGAAGACTGAATGGAAAAGGTGGAAAGCACTGTTTGTCTTCTGGTGTCTTTTTGATTTGGTGTTCTCTCCAATCCTGTTTGCTGTGTTTTCTCTGATGACAAAAAAGGACAAAGGTAAAACTAGTCGAAGAAGGAAGTTAAGAGTTAACTCATTAGTAATAGGCTCAGCCCCAGTGTGCAAAGAGATTTAAAATGGACGTAATTAACCCACTGGACATTGTTTCTTACATACTCAAGTGTTTTTGCCCAGAGTCGTGCTTTCAATCTAGTGTCTTCCCAGACGTTTTAAGTTTACAAAGGAAAGAGAAATGCAGAAGGCATGGTCCTAAGATGACAATAATTTGATGCATAAATCATTACGACTTTACATCTATTAGCGGTGAATGTAACGTATTTGGGTAAATAAAGGCAATAAACTATTACTCCTAGACCAAAGCCCTCGGCCAATAGGTGCATGAAATATTCTAAATTTACGGTTAAAATAAGGAGGAACCCATCACTAGGAGTGTGCAACTCCCATACTAAGTCGATGCCGCAGCATTTTTACAGACCGGTTTATTTTTATTCTTCTTTTCCCGCGAAATGGGTCAATTTCGGTCTACATGAACGCGCATCAATAAGGAAAAATGGTTGTTTTTCTTTTTAATCTTCCAGTGAAATGTTGTTGTCAATTACAAATCAAATCCCTGCTTGCGATTGGTCATTACGGTTCCTGCGGGGGTCTGAATTCGCGGTAAATTCAAACTAAAATTCGATCGGTCTGTGAAAACGCCGTTACTGTGAAAACGCTCCTAGTGATGGGCTCCTGTTTAGAGGTAATTACTGAATTGATTTGCGTTATGTCTACATCCGCTTGGTTTCCCTTTGTATTTATTACATGTACCATCTTCTAGAGGAAAATTCTTCAGATTCATTCTCTGAAAGTGATGAAGAAACGAAAAGCGATGATTGGGAAAACGAAAAGCTCAAGGTAAAATAATGGTGTGATACAGTATTTAACTGAAGACCTTAAATGTTCTTTTCACTAACCCACTGCTCACTGGAACATGAAACACCCCCAAATAGCATGAATAATTTTAGACTGCCTGGTTGTAGCAATCAGACATAAATTATGCTTTTAATGGTCTTTCATAGTCTTACCAAATGCGGAAACCTTTGTGACCGTTTTTTTTTTTTTTTTTTTT